GTCGGAAGGAGGTACCGTCAAAGGGAATGTGGTAGCCCCCGACACGATCTTCCTGATGGTGGAGTCAAATTTTCAAACGCGAATTGCGGGTGAACGGGACGTCGGAAGGGGGTACCGTCAAAGGAAATGTGGTAGCCCCCGACACGATCTTCCCGATGGTGGAGTCAAATCTTCAAACGCGAATTGCGGGTGAACGGGACGTCGGAAGTGGGTACCGTAAAAGGGAATGTGGTAGCCCGCGACACGATCTCACTTATGGTGGAGTCAAATCTTCAAACGCGATTTGCTGGTGAACGGGACGTCGGAAGGAGGTACCGTCAAAGGAAATGTGGTAGCCCCCGACACGATCTTCCTGATGGTGGAGTCAAATCTTCAAACGCGAATTGCGGGTGAACGGGACGTCGGAAGTGGGTACCGTTAAAGGGAATGTGGTAGCCCGCGACACGATCTTCCTGATGGTGGAGTCAAATCTGGAGTCAAATCTTTAAAAGCGAATTGCGGGTGCACGAGGAAAGTGGGAAGCGGTTAGTGAATGTAGTAGCCTTCGACAAGATCTGTTATTGATGGTTGAGTCGAAAGTGGCTAATAGAATACTGATCTGCCACACAAAAATGCGCTGAAGTCCTTTCGATCTCACACGAGGACTTTGATAATTTTTTTTACTATGGATTGAGCGGGCCGCGCAGCTTGAAGAGTTCTATGCGTTTAATTCAAATTGAAAAGTGGAAATTTCTACTTTTTTATGTAAAATTAAATTGCATTGACCAACGGACCAATAAATTCTAATTAACAGAAGGTAATTGTAACTAAAAACAAATTATCTGTGTGTATAACCGCCCTAGCATCAAGTTACCGTTTATTAACGATCGAATCGTGAATATTGAAAAAAAAGGTGCCATCAATATAAATAAAAGTGTAGAAACGCCATTTAAATTCCGAGTTTGGAATGTTTATTAATTAATACAATCCTGTCATTTTTAAATTCAAAAGGTGTTAATTGAAGATTTCTCTTGGTAAAACCAACTACGCCGTGGGCGATAATGGAAAAATGCGTTAGTTAATCTTCTTAAAATGTCCGTCTATTGATTATATAAACGGTAAGGTGGGTGTAATTAAATTGATTTCGATTATGTAACGGCGAAGAACAATAAAAATCATGCGCCCATTCCTCATCGGCGACTAAAACAAATGTTTGCAAGAGAATCCCGATGCAAAACGGTTCTGGTGTGAAGTGCAGACAGTGCAAGTACCAGCGGCTTGGTCAGTTTCAAACAAATGGCACGTCAGACACCCTCATCGAGCCGCAACCAGTTCTTCTAGATTCCGATAGGATAATTATAAAATTTGGTATCGCTGTTTTCGAACTTGCGACTTAAAATTTATCTTTGAAACACGTGTACGCGCTAAAATTAATTTTCGCCAAATTTCAACCCATTTGTTTTCAATTTGAATGATAAATCACCGCCTCGCTACCTTTCCGACGTAGATTTGCATTTTGGTTCTACGAGCAGAAGACAGCAGCCTTGATTGTTAATGTATTTCAATGTTCTGTCATCTTAACATCATAAATTATGCCAATCGGAAACATAGTTTTAATTATGCTCTTAGCCTTACCGTTATAGATACTATACACGTATTTATTATCTGTGGCCGTAGGTGTTGGGAGAAGCATCCCGGAAGTAGGTACCAAATCTCCAGTTCTCATAGCCCTGGGCAAGTTGCATTGAATTTCGAAGGTCCTTAATGATGTGACACAATAGGTTTCTCGCCCAACGCGAAAATAAACATCCAGAGGAAGGACGCTCTGTGGTAATAGCAAATTTGACCAGCTGCACTGTTCAAAAACAAGCAATTGAGTTTCGCATTATACCATTAAACTAAAATGTTTGTAACTTTTTGGCTTTTTTCCTTCCTTTTCGATTGCCTAATTTGTAAATTGAGAAAACGAAGCAGCTTTAAAAAAGACATTTACCTTACTCGCTTCCTATTAGTGCAACTATGTTCTTTAAAACACGTATTCTGACCTATTGATATTCCTCATGGTTCAGCTATCAATCAATGATAATGACAAGTACAACGAATCCGTTTGTTGCATACACTTAGTGTTGGTTATCTGCATTTTACAATGACACGGAACCGTTTTTTATTCCTGTTGATAGTTTTGTCCGTCCGTCTGTTCCTTGCCTAACACCTTCGCAAATCGATTCCTACGCGTTCAAGGATCAGTGCTATTGAATATGAGCCGGATAGCCGCCTTTCTCACTGCTGCCA